ACTGGGCCTAAAGCCAGTGCACATAAAAAGTGGCGTGATATCCATTGCATCCACCACAAACACAGCAGCTCCGCAACACAACCACAAACCCCACCAAAAATAAAAATGAAGCCCATGTGTAATAAATGCGGCATCGAATGCAGTCGCCCCTGTCTTTCAGCAGAACAGGCAGAAAGACCTGCCCCCGCCCCGATCAGAGCAGAGTGAATTCCCCTCGTCCTGCCCGCATCAGCAGACGCACGCGTACGTGCGATGCTGGAGTTAGTCCCTTCCGCTCAACGCATTTTTTTCCCCGCACATTTCTCACAAAACTTAAATCCCCTCAACACACAAAAAACCGTTTTTCTTTTTTTGCCATGAACAGCGGGCAAAGCAAAGCAATACTTCTTAGAGTCCGTCGTTGAAAAAAAAAACAAAAACAAAGGGAGTAGTGGGGGTGGCTGTGTAGTGTATTACTGATGCTTTACGCATCGTGCGCAGGGTTCCGTAGGGACGCGTTGCACGTTTTTTTTTTTGGGTCCAGACGTGCGTTGCCTGTCCCCAATCACGACAGCCGCTCAAAGCCGCAGCACTGCCACGGCGACGGTGGCCACAAGAAGAAACGCAAAGGAACTGAAGCCAACGGCGGCCGCCGCACTGTCTCCTATAAAAAGATAAGCTTTCCTGCGGTCTATAGCCTGGTCATGTGTGGGTGGGGAGTGATGATCATTGGTTCTACGTGGTTTTAACCCTTTGTTCAAGTGACGTCCTTCTCCTCTGTCTGTCTTGCCAAAGACGCGTAAAAGTAAGATATACCACCCCTCTCCAACGTCATGGCGTAATTCAAATCATTAGTTCCAAGCTTCTTTTTGTGCATGGGCAATGAAAGGCAACGTAGAGAATAGTAACTCAATTTTCCCACGGTTTCTCATAACCGCCGTTAGCCTTCTTCATGCCAGGTTTCACTTCCGCAGTCATGCCTTGTGAGCATGGAGAGTGAAATTTAGTGTTTTGGGTATTGGTAGCATCATGAAGAGAACCCGTTGGGCCGTCACTTCGCCTTCAGTGGGTAGCATACGGCACATTGCAGGGGAGCCTTACCTTCCTGTACGCTTTGTGGATGCCTCGCAACCTGCTGATTTCCCTCTAGGCCTGATGAGATGTGTCTGTGATAAAAGCACAACGCGTGTGGAGAAAGTAGCAAAAATGTTAGGGAGTCATACTCAAAAATAATTGTAGGGTTCTCAACACGCAGAGCGTCACTCACCCCATCACCACCGTATCTTTGCAAGCCTTTTAATACCCCGTCTTAGTGGGGCATTTTTACTTTGTTGTATTACGCACAGAGCGGCTCTCCGTGGGTCGCAATTCCCCTTACCACGCTATTTCTTTAAAGTCCTTAAAAAACTTGCCGTATTCCTTGCTGTTTGTGTAAATGAGGTCCAAGCAGCGTGCGGCGGCATCAATCTCATCTAGTGGGCACAGCAGCAACTGCTCTCCCCGCCGCTCCTTCTTTGCCTTGGGTGACTCATCCGTAATCCACCCCGTGTCCACGGAGTTCATGAAGATTCCATCTTGAGCGTAGTCCTCACCGCTCGTCCGGGTCATCATATTAAGGGCGGCCTTCGCCATGTTTGTGTGAGGGTGTGTCACCTGCTTGAACCGGTAGAACTGTCCTTCCATGGCCGAGACATTGATGATAAACCGTTCCTCGTTTGGCACCGCGTCGCCCTCCCGATTCAGCAAGCATGGTTTTAGCTTACTGTTGATGATAAATGGCGCGAGGGCGTTGATGGCCATAATCTCCGCTGCTTCGCTTCCTGGCACCTCACCCAACCGCAACACCCACGAGTTCATCTCACGCGTATCACTTTCTTCTGCTTGAGTATCGTAGCGGTCAAAAACAGGCGGGTGAATAGCGGCAATGTTGGCTGTGGCAGTTAATGCCAGCTGTTCTTTGTCCCCCGTCCGATTCTCCTCCTGGTTTTCGTGGTTGTCGTTCGTGACGGTCGCTGCATCGTCTAGAAACGGTTGATTGTGTGCATGGGGCTCGATCTGAAGGGGCTCGCCAATGGTTACAGAAGTGTGAGTGGAAAAAAATTGATGCCACTCTCCCATCGTTGCGTCCTCGCAAAGCCGGCGGTGCAGCTCTTGTGACGGGTACGCCTCAAAATGGCAGAGGTGGGCCGTATACTCCTTTGTGCGTGCGATGGTTTGTGCGGCGTTGTTGATGATGGCGAACAGTTTGGGAAACCGATGCCGCAGAAAGGCACAAAACTGTGTCACGAGCCAAAGGTCACGAAGATCAAGGGCAAAGAGATGTAGCCGATCTCCCCACTCCGCATAATCGGTCTCCCGCTGAAAGCGTGCCAATGCCTCGTGCACAAACCGCGTGGTTCCCACCAGTCGTGCCCCGCAACGCAGGAGGGAAAGCGCCATCGCAAAGCCAATCTTGATGCGGCAGCCAGTGAGCAGCACAACCTTTCCACGTAGATCCCGCGTGAGTAGTCTCTTGTTAAAATTGTATTCCCCACATAGGTGACAAAGGCTGTAATAATAGGGGTGCAACTTGTTATACCGCACGCGGCAAGTGTGACATCCAATCCACCGGTTTAACTGAAGAGCCTCATCAGACGGGAAAGGCCGACCGGAAGTGCACGTTTGCCCATCAGCGAATATGCAGTAGCTATCCGGCTCTTCGTCCATCGATGTCGGTGGGCGAGTTTGAACTGTAAACGGGGATTCTCCCCACTCTCGTACCCGTTTCCTCGCATAAAGTCTTCTAGCAATGAAAAGATTTAACGACGCCTCCGCTGATAACGTCGGTACCACATTCGCATCCTGTGGCACAAACCGACTATCAACGGCACCCTCAGCAAGGACAAGCTTCAAGGAGTGTAAGACGTCCGTTGTCGGCACAACGTGCTGAAGGGCAAAGCAAAGTTCATCTGGAACAGAGTTGGGATCGCCACACTGCCGCAGACGTGACACGTTTCGAAGCAAGACAGAGTCCGCCACGAGCACATCTTCACGAGGAGGGAAGGCATTTCCCTTAACGGCATTGTCACCGCCGGTACAAGTATTGTTCTCCTCATCTCCGTCGTTTTCATCACTTTCCCCCAATGTAACCAATTCGGCGCAACGCTCTGCAATGCGTAGCTTTACAACTGCTGTGTATTTTTCTCGCTGCTCAGAAGGTGTTCCTGCAGGAGCAGCACCGCGCAATAACGCAGGAGGCATTTGTGATCCAAAGTTGTGTGGCATGTAGCGATAGACCTGTGCCACAAGCTGTGAAATCCTCAGCCATTCTGGTGCGGTGGGACTAGTGTCATAAGCCTCTTCCAGACGAATCAAGTTCTCAAAGGCACCAATCAATCTGATGATCTGCCAGTCAGTGGCAGAACAGGAGTTAGGGTCATTCGTCTCTGAACAAACCCCGTTTAATGCCTCCTCTGGGGCAGCTTTCGCAACCTCGTCAGTGAGTTGTGACGGTGCCAGTCCATCAATCATCAGCAGCGGTCTCGCTGGCCGCTGCATCAACGACGTCAAAGCTGCATCCCGCTCTCGTTTCATTTCCGTACGGTGTATGGCCTTAATGTCCTGCATGCGCTGAAACCGCTTTCGCCGGCTTTTCTCCTCAGCCATGATTACTTTGTATACTTCACGATTTTCGCGCTTCGTCTTGCTGTCCCGCGAGATCATGGTGTACAGACTACTCTCGTGGAGGTACGCATCGCCCACAAAGAGCGAGGGATTATGAAATAGCGTACGCACCACTTTGGTGGCTACATGCAGCTCGTCAAGGGTAAATCCCCAGCGGGCCTCACGTTCTTCCAGCGACATCGTTGTTCCTTCCGCGTGGTCATTGGATAGGGGCTCCTCCTCCGCAGAATCAACACTGCGGTTCATGTGACCCTCCACCTTGTTCATTCCTTCCTTACGTTTTCCTTTTCTGGTGGCTCCCCATTCTTACCAATTTCATCCGTAATGCCAAGTGTGACGCCATTTACAATGGCAAGAGACGTTAAGCAAAAAGAAGATGTGAAAAGAAACAGTGGCTCCTCCCTTGGGCGTTTTTTGTTTCACTGTGTGTGTGTGTGTGTGTGAATGCGTGGGCAAGTAACTAACGCTCCCCCAGCACACACACACACACACAAAGGCGTGAACGTGGGCTCTCACGCCATCCCACTCTCCAGACCTTATGTGTTGGGTCCATGTATGATCTTGGTTTACCATATAAACGAGTTACGTGCTGTTTTAATAAGTAATGAGAGGAGAGAAGCAAAGCCACAACCACGGAAAAAGCAACAACAGCTACACAGACAACTTGTCCTGGTGCTCCCTCCACCCCCATCGCTCGTGTTGTTGCCGCAGCGTGTGTGTGCGTGTGCTAAGCTCTCTCTGTCTCTCCTACGTTTTCCTCCTTTTTTTTCCTTTTTTTTTTTCGTAGTTTGCTTTTTTTCTTTTTCCTTCCTGATTTCGTTTCCTTGCTTCTGTGTGTGTTTGCATATGTGCCTCGCCGCAGCCACAGCGGCCATGAAGACCAGCACACAACAAAAGGAGCTGAACAGACCTCCCCCCGCACGCTAGAGAGGAGATCGTGGCGCAGCGCCTGCCCAACCTCATCTTCTGTCTCTGCTATCACCACATACCACCACCGCCACCGCCCATGCCCATGTTCTCCATCATCATCTGCTGCATCATTTGGTTTTGTCGCATCTGTTGTAGCTGTTTGCGTCGCGCCTCTTCATCCTTCGCGCGACGCTCAGAAATTTGCACACGGTACCGCTCGAGGTATCGTTGCACTGCCGCGGTGCACTGCGGGACGCGGGCAAGGAGCTGCACCAGCACTTCAGCCCTGTCACGCAGCACCTTTTCCGAAGCGTGGCACCAGACCTCAAAGAGAGTAGAAATGATGTCCGTTTTCTCCGCCAGACACGTAAAAAACTGCGCGCCGTGCTTGCTGTCGCACATAAGCAAGATAATGGTAAGAATGGAGTTCGTGACGCGTGGGTCAGCGTTCACGGTAAAGGTTTCTGCGAGGCGCCGCAGGTTGTCCTCATCCACAAGTTCCTCGTGACCGAGGCCGGCGCGGGCAAGGTAACGGATGTTGAGAGCGCAGTGCTCCATCACGCCCTGGTTGCCGTGCTCAAGCAGGCGGAGGAAGTACGACATCCCACTGCGCCCCTCCACACCCTGCCCCACCGCCAATGCACCCACGCGCAGCGCACATACATTCGCAAAGATCCCTGTAAGAGCATTCAGGAAGAGAATAGGGCTCTGCGGGTCGAGAAGGCGTAACATCTTTACTGTCGCGGGGATGCGGGCCAATGCGTAGGCACCCTCGGCGCCTACTGGCACGTCGGTCTCCAACACCACTTCGGCATCATTGACGTGCGTGAGTGTGTGCAACGCCTGCGCTACTTCCTCCATGAGCTCCTGCCGTCCCTGACGGTGTGCCTCGCTCAGTGTCGCTAACAATGTGCGGTAGCCACCCAGCATGTACAGTTTTCGGCAACCTTCCTTGTCGGCACCGAAGACAGAAACGATGGTCTTGATTGCCAAGCTTACCCCCTCCACATTGGATCCGTCCTTGCTGAGGGCGGCAAGTCGCAACAACGTTCCCCCTTGACGCTGTGCTGAAAGCCGCGATGAATCTTTCTTCTGAGCTGCGTCCTCCTTGAGCTTCTTAAGAATGTCCTCAGCCGCTGCAGCCCGATCCTCGTCTGTCTTGGCCTTACAGAGAACTGTGAAGGAAGCGTCAAGCGAGGAAAGCACATTGTATCGCTCATGATACAGCGAGAAGAGGGAGACAGCGGAGAGGGTGGCAACTGTGCCATGGAAGAGAAACTTCCACACGGCGGGATTGATTGGAGACTCCATTGTGACACCCACCGAGGAGCACACCTGTTCTCGCGTCCTCTAAAAGAATGTATGAGAGTAAAGGCAATTGCTCTCCTCCACTAAATTCCTTCAGATTTTTTCTGCTTCTTTCACCTAAACGCTGTCGTTATTGTGCTGGAAGTGTACATTGAAGCAAAAGATAAATAAACAACAACAATAAAATGTGCAGGTGTATTTGCACCTCAGTTGTGACACGCCAAAGTCGTCATAAAGCGAGTACGTGAGTAAGTGAGGAAGAGTGAAGCAAATCCGCACACAGCGGTCTTAACGGAATCGGTAAAAAGACAAGAATCAAGCAGCGGCAGGAATCTCATTACGCCCTCCACCACCTCACACCCCTCGCTGCTTCTCCTTCCGTCACACGCACGCTCACCTTTTTCTTCCTTTTTTTTTTTTGTAGCGCCACAACACTGGCTCTTCCTGGTCAATGTTAAAGATACGGTGCCACTGGCCTCTCTGCAGCTCGTTCCTCCTCTGACTTTACTAGACTATTCTTGTAGTTCAAATATTCCTCCCGTGCGACGGCGGCCTCGTCTTTCCGGTTGGCGAGATAGTACCGCATAAGCTGCTCCTTGTCAAAGAGTGGCTTGGGCATGATCCTGGAGTTTTGCCGCAGCGACGGTGGCAACAGGCCGGCCTTTGCAAGAAGAGCCCACGGCCGCATCGACAACCGGCACCGCTTCACACCAAACCAGTACTTGAACGCATCCACGTCAACGGTGGTCAGCATAAACAAGTGCCTGTCCTGTGCAACCGGGGTGTCAGGCGACCACAGCGATTTTTGCGGGTGTGGACAGTGTTTGCCGAGGTAGTGCAGCAGGCGGATGTCGGAGTTGCGCCGCTTGTGAGTGTGTTCTACAATAAGATCGTACGACTGAAACTTCCACACGACGTGATGGCCACGCATGCGAATAATTGGCGCACCAGGGGCTCCCCACAATTGAGGGGTGCGTCGCTTAATAACGCCCCGAGCACTAAGCAACAAAGTCGCACGAAGCATGCTGTTTTTTTTCCTCCCCCTCCCCTTTTTTTTTGTCGTTCTTACTTCCTTTTTTTTTTCTCTCTTCCACGGCACTCACTGGCGTAATGCAGAGTGTCAGGAGCCGTGCGAGGCAGCCACCCTCAGAGTTCGCAGCAACACCCGCAGACGCAGGTGCACAGAGTAACCCCTCCCTCGCTAGTCAGACACATTACATAAAGAAAAAATTAAAAAAGGAGACACGGCAAAAGCAAAAAAAGAAAATTGACGAACCCCAAATGCCAAATTGCATTTGCTTTGCAGCGGCGGTGGGAATTCTACTCCCCACACGCCCTTGTCTCCGGCAATAAACCACTACCTTTCCCCGCTCATAAGTTCCCAGCACCCCGCAACCAGCTTTAATACAATCCCACCTACATATACGAACTTACTTTCTAGATTCGTCGCATTCCACGCAAAAGGCCAATGCCGAGCGTCGCGTAGCCCACCACACCCGGGGCAATGCCGCCAGGTCCCAACTTTGTAGCGACGTACCGCATTCGGTTCTCGACCAGAAAATTCAGATCTTCTCTGTTTATCTCCCCATCACCGTTTGTGTCAGCGAGTTGCCGCAACTTTTCTCGGAAAGCAGCCTCAAGCAAATTCTGATTAACAAAGTTCATCTGTGCCAGGAACTGAAGCCCGCTGTAGAGCACAAAGGAGGATGTCAAGATAAGTACCTTGTTCTTGTACATCCGGTGCGCCACTCTGCCAGCAACAAACCCCACAGTGAAGCCAAATGCACACTGACCAATTAAAGGCAGGGCACTGTCCAGCGTGCGCTGATGGCGTCGAAGAAAGTTATTCAGGTCACGGTCGTACATCACTTGAAAATCACGCGGAGTGACACGTCCATCGCCGTCAGCATCCAAATAACTCAAGAACTGCGCAGACGCACGTTTCCCAAAGTCACTCTGCATAAAATTCTGAAAATCCTGACGTGACTGCAAAGGGTTTAATATGGTTTTTCCTGCATCAACAATATACTCAAACAATGCAAATGACCCACTCTCACTGCGCGGCTTGCCCAGGGAAAAAACAGTGTCGAGGGCTTTCTCCAAATCCTTCGTGTTAAGTCGTTCTTCCTGCAGCGAATTTGAAGTTGTTTGTGGATGTGATTGTGAGCTAGTACGCACCATGGCTCCACGATCGCAACTGCAAAAACATCCAGCAACAAAACCCGCTGAGAAATAAGAAGCAAAAAAAAAAAACCTAGGCAATAAATATAGTGTGCCTTACTTTCCCATAATAGAAAGGCAAAAAAGAAGAAAGAACAATGCTACGCATTTTCAGCCACGTTGACCTGGTGGCCACATGTGTGTGCATGTATATACTCACTCAGTACCCAATCAAAATAAGAGAGAAAAACTGCAAGCACCTCCTCATCAGCTTGACATCATTACGTGCTGACAAAAAACGTCGAGGTGCAAAAGGGAGCTTCTTCGCCTTGTCAATCGCCTGGACAAAAACGGCCCATCCCGCTGTTCTGGGGCTCGTCAACGGCATCGCAGACGCCGCGGATCCGCGCTCCACGGCGATCCCTCGCAGTTGCAGAGATCCGCACAACTGAGTGCACCGTCACCGTCCTCACCCCGTCGAACGTGAGCTCCCTCGACCCCCCGCCATGCAGAAGAACCCCAACGCCTGTGCCGTGC